CTAGTTCCTTCTCACCCCAACAAGGTTGACTGGGTGTGGCCTTAGCCAATTATATATTTTCCATTTTTCTCTTTGTGGTTCTTCATTCTTTATCCTATGAAAGTTTCCTGCCTTCTGCCTGTTTTACAGTTCTCCGCATGAAGACTGTCTACTTCATGGAGTGTTAAAAGTTCCTATCACCTAAATTACCTTCAACCATTTTTAAAACACGTGTAACCCTGCCTTTCAGTCTCTTGCCTTCACAAATCTTTTTCTCACCTTGTTGTAACCAATTATAGTACCATTTTACAAAATCTGACCACCATTCTTTATCTTTCTAGAATACACATTCTGAAACATCTTGGACCTCATCTGGATTTCCAATTTACTGATGGCATTACAAAAAAAAAAAAAAAATTAAACTGATGTCATCTCTTTTCTGCCTTCATGTTCTTATTTATTTCAGCTTGGATTTATGGTGCATAACTAAAATTATTTATGTGCATCTATCATCAACTTTCTTATGTTTTTCTTTCCCCATTGCCTGATGATACTCTAATCCCGAAGAAATCTAACATTTTGGCCACCCCGGATCTGTATCTAAGAGCTTAATGTAGCCAGATAAAAATGCACAATCATGCTGACTGATCTCACTTTAGGTGACCATAGCCTTAAGTGTGGAGGCCCTCCGCAATGCTTGGAGATTATGCATTTCTTTAGGCATTCGCCATCCCTCTGTTCCCTGTTTGATCTTTTTTCTTTCTCCTTAACTGCAAACACTTCCTCAGCCCACTTTCAGCACCAGACTTGCTTCTTATTTCACTAAGGAAATAGGCACAATCAGAAGAGTCCATCCTCACATCACTCCTCTGATTAGTACATGGAAATCTCCGCATATTCAGTACATATACTAATAAGGTTGCCCTCATTTGTTAATTCAATGATGCAAATGTAGTGTTCATTTCTTAATGAAATATTTCCAAAATATATTAAAAACGACAAGCCGGTTATTGTAGAATATTCGTCAACTTGGGTTTGACAGATATTTTTCACAGGAAGATTCAGATTGTGAACTTCTAGCTGAAATACCACACAGATGAAGCTGTGTCATCCTCAGAGGAACAACCAAAGAGGCAAGATGGCCATTTGTCTCTCTTTGGTGATATTAATTTTTACTTCCTGGTGGAGATGATATCTGGTTTCTCCACTTTTACAATTAATAAGAAATCTGGGAGTAGATACTTTAAGAGCATGCAAATATCCTGCTCCTCAGCAATCTTTCCCCCTAGAGATAGTGTAGATTGATGATTCTTGTTTTAAACCTTTCTTATGATGGTTTTAAAATGATGAATATTCTAACTTCATAGCTCCTTTCTACGTGTATCTTTTGAAATTTTTCTGTTAGCAAGAGCCTCCCCGCCTTTCTCCATTGTTTACATCTATGTATGTATGTATGTATGTACGTATATATCTATTTATGTCTGTCTATCTATCATCTATGTATCTATGTATCAATGTATGTATGTATGTATGTATGTATGTATGTATGTATCTAATCATCTATCTTTGTATCTATGTATCTAATCTATCTATCTGTCTATCTATCAATCTATCACCTATCATCAATAAATCATCAGTATTTATTGATGTAATAGTAACAGTAATGTATTGCAAATCTCAATTTTTTTGATAGCATTGAAATCCCTTGTTTTCCTTTTGTTGGCATTTGATTTTTATATCTTGGCAAAGCCTTTCATTATTGTCTTTCTATATTATATTCTTTCAGGTGTGTATCATCCAAACTTATTTTTTAAAAGGGGTTGACATGATCAATTTTCTTTGTTTACATTAAAGTTCTAGAAAGTAGTAGAATTGTAAGACTTAGCAAATAATTCTTATGTTCATATTGATCACACCGATGGTTTTAAAAATAATTGTAATTAAACAGAACTTCATTCATTCTACCCAACATGGCAGGAATGAAAAACTATTTTGGAAAGTCACTGTCCAGCAAAGGGTCAGGAGTGACAGATTACCTTTTCTTGGCAGAGTAATTATATTCACTGTAGGGTTCCCCACTGAGCACTTTCACCAAGGGATAAAATAACCTTGGCTAAATTATTTTCTACTCAGTTATGTAGCCTCTAGTCTGTAGGACTGTACAATAACTTGGGTTGTTATCTCAATTATCACAGGGTTAATTAATTAATGTGGGTAAAACATTTTATAATTCTACACATGAAAGATTTTGAAAAGAATTTGATACGTCTCTATGTTGTTTCTCTATCCTTTAAGTAAAAGCTTAATTAGTGTCTTTGAGAAGGAAATGAGAAGTAATCAAGCACATTATGTTTTGAAGACCTACTCTTTTTGCAGTAAAAATGCTTCTACCATAAGGTTTATTATGTTTCTTGCATCATTTGGTTCTCAGAACAATGCATTTACAAAAAATGCAACATGCTTCTATGATCTGCCAATATAAATGGTGCTTCTATAAAGTTTTCAAAACATGTTTCCATGCAGAAAATAGAAACCTCAAACCCAAGGAAACACAAGACTTCACATTAAAATATTATTTTACCTTGTATTTTAATTTTATAAAAAAATTTTAAATGTTTTAAGAATTAAGTTTAACTAAACTATTCTTGGTCAGCCAAAAAGTCTATCTGGAATGCTATCTGCAGAGCTCTTTTCTTTGCCTTCCCTCCAAGTAATGTCTCTGTCCAACTCTCCTTTGTTTTTCTCTTGGGTTATTGACTGAGCAGGTAAAAATGGGGAGATGTGAAGAATAAAAAGTAATTCCCCTTATTTTTTTTTTTTTAAATATATCCCATACTCACTCCAACAATAGTCTCTGTAAGTTGAGAAGATCAAAATCGTGAATTCCTTTTGTAGTGAGTAAAAGCTACATACTCAGGGGTGGAAATTGAGGCAAATTCTCTAGGTATTGATGTATAACTAAATCAGATCTTGTGACAGGTTTTGTTTCTACATTTCTTCTGCCATGTCTGCCGAGGGTCCATTATGCACCAGTCCTAGTCTTACATACTTGGTATTGAGTGGTGAACAACTTAGACAAACGGAACTGGTATTCCAGAAAAACGGGATGATCTAAACAATAAATGTAATGATTACGTGAACTATGTGGTAGGTCAGAAGATTAAAAACACTCTGGAAAAAAAAAGTAGAGTAAGGAGGATTAGGGTACTGTGGGAAGGGACACATTACAATCTTAAATAGGGGAATCAGGACAGGCCTCATTCAGGAGGTGACCTTTGATCAAAGACTCGGATTAAGTGATGGAGTTAGTTTTCTGGGCAAGCCTTAAGATGGGTGTGTGCCCTGTGTGTTCACGGAGCAGCAAAGGAAAACGTGTGACCAGAGCCAGAGTGGCAAGAAGGAGAGTAGAGGAAATGAGTTCAGAGAAATAAAAAGAGGAGGCAAATCATGCATCGCCTTGCAGACCCTGGTAGAGTTTGCCTTTTACTTTGGGTAAGATGAGGGCCCACTGGCTTTGACTCTTCCTCTGGGGGAAATGGGAAGATTTTGAGCAAATGAATGATATAATTTGACCACTGTTTTAAAAAGTTCACTCTGGCTACTGTGTTGAGAATTGACCTTGGGATTTGGGGGAGATGCCGGGAGAGCAGTTAGGATATTATTATACCAATGGAGGTGACAGCTGGTGATGGCTCACACCAGGAAAGGAACAGTAGGTACTGTGAGAAGTAGTCAGACACTGTATATATTTTGAAGATGGAGCTGAAGGAAAGAAAAGAGTCAAAGATGGCTCCAAGATTTTTGGCTTGAAAAATGGAAGGCTAGAGATGCCATCAGCTGAAATGGCAAAGGCTATGAGTAAAAGAGGATTTGGGGGAATGGTCAGAAATACTGCTTTAGACATGTGAAATTTAAGGCATCTATTAGGCATTTAAGTGGAGATGTATAATAGGTGGAGGAATCAAATAAATCTGTAATTCAGGAAAGGTTTATAATGGAGATATATAACTTTGTGGGAGCATTGGCATATAAATAGTACTTAGTACCATGAGGCCAAATGATATAACCAATAAAGTAGGTGTAGATACTGGATAGAAGAAAAGACTAAGCCTTGAGATACTCCAACATGAAGATACTGGAGAAGAGGAAGAGAGGCAGACAAAAGGGGAACAGGATGATGGTTATTTTCATTTTTCTGAAATTTGCTCCCTCAAGTTAAAGATGATAGTGAAAATGTTAAGAGAGGAAGGATTAGGGAATTGATACAAAAGGCAGATGGTGTATAGAAGGTACCCTCTTCCTTTTCTATAGGAATTGAGAGAGGTCATGAGTGTGAATAGGAAATTATCTTTCTAAGGATGTGTTAAATTTAGAACTTGACTCTTTTTTATATGTCAGACTGTACATATACAGATTGACTTAGAAAGCACTATTGAAATCATCTTATGCAAAACACAGTATTTTGTTTATAGAGTCATATATGTTCAAGATATTTACATATGGAACTTCTAGCAGATTCTCAACAAATACTTGTCAAATTATTAATATATTACCTTCACTCTTTGTTGAGAATTTTAATATGTTAAAACTGGTTCTTTGCATAAAGAAGACACATAAAAACTTTCTTCACTACTTTTTCTCAAAACATACATACCTATTGACTCAGAAGCCAGTTTATTCAGACATGTACCTTATACTTTATAATTATTTATCAGAACTCACTGGCAGATAGACACAATGGGTGTGAATTGTCTATTTCTCTTGATTCTGGCTGATGGGCAATTGTAGTCAATGAGATATCCATTGAAAATATGAATATCTTCAAGTATGAGGTAGATTTTATTATCTGGAGCTAAGTAATATCTATTGACAGCAGAAGTTTCAGTCAACATGGACTCAGGAATACACCACATACTTGGAGATTATTCCAGTGAGAGCGTTAGTGTTTCCTCTCTCCAAGGAATCGAGAATGACTAACAAATCCGACTTTCCCTTGAGAAGGAGTGAGCGATTCAGCTTACCAGGATAGGAGGAGATGGCGTTGATGCGGGAGGTCCTGATGACTCCCACCCGGGTCCCACGGTTGTTTTTCATGCACATGCAGACACATATGGCAATTCCAGCTATGACCCCCATGATAAATACGATTCCAAACACGATGCCAGCAATTGCCGTGCCCCTAAAAAGGGAAAACAAAAGTCTCATAAGGATTTTTCAGCCTTTCAAATACAGCTCAGTGACTACATGACAAGTGCTTCTTTACAAATATTCTTAAGGATAATGTTAAAAAAAAAAGATAAGTCTCTGAATTGGTTAAGTAAATAGTATTCTGTATATCAATGGATAAGAAAAAGTTATAAACCTTTAGGGAATCCTCCTCCAGAAAAGTAAACTCATCATTCAGATTCTGGTTTTAAAAATTCATGTATTTATACAAAACACAATTCTCCAGATATGCTCTCTAAAATTTTAATTAAAAAACTATTCTGCAGTGTACTTAAACAGCAAATAATTTACCTATTTTCTGTGGAGTATATGTGTTTAATGAATACAGTTTGATAAATGCCAAAATATTAAACAAAATTTAACATGTATCCTGATTAAAATGCTTTGTAAGGTGGAGCTAGAATTTTTTTCTTAACAAAACAAAGAAAACCAAACCTTTTTTTAATTATACAGAGAACAGTCATGACAAACAATATTCCCATTAAATTCAGGAACAATATAAGTAAAAGCTTTATTTTATCAATGTCAATGTTTTTCTCCAGAACAATTTTCCTCATGCAACAAAATCATAGAAAGAAAAAAAAAAAAACTACTGCATGAAAGAGTCAAATCGTCATTATGTGTAGATAACATAATTTGTAGGAGACTACATTTGTCCACCATTTTGAAAAGTTATAGGGAAATGTTCATCAAAATGTAAATTTCAACAGGCAGTATCATTTCTAGCCATGCTTCCTAAAGAAATACAGCATATGTGGGTACAAATAATGACCAAGGATGTTCATCAAAATATTGCTGCTAAGGAAAAAATATCAGAAACACCCTAATTCCATAAAAAGAGGATTAACAAATAGAAGAAAATATGATACATCAGAGAATGAATCCTATACAATGATTGAAAAGGGTGAAGAGGTCCACAAGGATTGAGATGTTCATGATACATGGTTAACTTAATAATACTACAAATGAAAAGGCATGCATTAACACAATAGCACCAGTATTAACAGATAATGGCAGTGAGGTAAATTGTATTTTTATACACCAAATTTTGGAATGTATAGATAGCGATTATTTTGTAGAATGGGAAAATAAAATTTTAACTTGTGTACTCCCCAGAAGCAACCATTTTCAACTCTTTCGGACATTTTTAGTACCGTTCTTCCTATTTCTCAATAATATGATTACATTTCTTTATTTAAAAATTTTTAATTTTACATATTGTTATTGGCTCATCTTACAGTTTTTGGGAATGTAGATCCCTCAGACAAATTTTATCCTTCATTAAATCAGTCATCAGTATTTATATTACTGTGCCATTACTTACTGCTGAGCAAGCAACATATCATGATCATCTTATAGTTATTTTTAAAGGCATTTCCACGAGTTCCTATCTTCCCATGTACCTATAGCTTCTCATCCCCTCCCTAATTCTTAGAAATCTTTCAAAAAATTACCAGTTATTTTTAAACACTGAAACACAGTAACAATCACGTTATCAATTCTGTTTTGTCTCCATGGTGATTTCCCTTATAGCCTGCCAACTCCAGTGGTTCCTTTTCAATCTGGAACTGTTTCTAGACCTGTTTAGTGGTCTGTGGGTGTCTAGTTTCTGGAAACTATTCTTTCTCTTTCTTGGTGAACTGCCCTGTTTGTTGAAGCACATCCACGAATGACTTCTTAAAGAAAGGTTCAAGGCAAGTAAATGTTTCAGAGTCCTCGCATGCCTGAAAATGACTTAATGCTATCCACATTTGGCTGGGTATGGATTCTAAGATGTTATTTCTCAGAAACATGAAGGCATTGTTAATTGTTTTCTAGAATTTGGTATTGCTGTAGAGGAATCATATATCACTCTAATTACTTTCCTTTGTGTGATGCTGTTTTCTTTTTTTTCTTTCTGAAGTTCTTAGTATTTTCTTTTTACTCTTGTCTTCTGAAATTCTGTAATGTACTTGGATTAAAAAAAAATTATTTTGCCAGGTCCTTGGGATATTTCATGTGTGAGACTCACGTTCTTCTGTTCTTGAAACCATTCCATAAGTTGATAATTTCCTTTCCACCATTTTCTCTGTTTCTCTTTCTAAAAGCTTATTCTGAAATAAGCCTTTGAACTTTCTGGATAAATTCTTTAACTTTTCTCATCTCTGTTTACTTGAACTGCTTTCTGGGGAATTTCACTGACTTCATCTTCCAAAGTTTTATTGAACTTTTAAATTTCAGCTATCATATTTTTAATTTCCAGAAGCTTTATCTTATACTCTATTGCAACACTCCTTTTTAAAGTGTCCTGTTTTGCTTTCAAGGATGTAATTTTCTTCCTTAATCTCTGAAGATACCAATGATATATTATTTGAGATTTTCTCTACTCTTTGTATTTCCTTTGTCTTGTCTAGGTTACTTTCTATTTAATTTTTTTTATCTGTTTTATTTTTGATATATATATATATTTAAATATCTAGTGATCCCTGAATCTCTTCCTATTAAAAAAGACAATACTAAATATCTGCTTGGAAGTTCAGTGTACAAGACTAGCATTGGACAGGTGAATTCGCTTGAGGTCAGTTCCCATAGGTTTTTTCTTTGGGGCTGTTCATTTTCCTCTTTAAAAGGATCCTCCAATTTCATACTTGCGAGTATGAGCTGGACTGCGTTTCCCAGAGCCTGGGGTTTTACCCATAATGGTATGAACTTTCACAAAATTCTCATGCTTTCAGCTCAGAGACTCAGTCTCACTCTACTGTGATGGTGGAGGCTTTCAGGATAAGCCTTTAAAAATTAAAAAAAAAAAAAATCTTCGTGGTTTAAATCATGACTTCGGAAGCCAGACTGCCTGGGTTCCAACTGTAGTTGCTAACCCTCACCCCTCCACTCAGTTTTCTTAATGAAACAGAGGTCAGTTTGGTGTTTAACTGACTCTCCTTCCAAATTTCATGGCATAAAATATCTGTGCTCCTGGCTCACTTGCAAGATAAGTTATTCTTCTTAGTGTGATATGAGCATCCATCCTACACTTTTCTAGGACAGGTTCATAATCTCTCATCCCAAACCACTGTGTCCAGACATGTCTCATAAATCAGGAATTTTCAGGTTTTGGAAAGAGAAAACAGTACATACACTGTATATTATATGATATGCCCAGGACCAGCATCCTGAACATAATGCATTTACATTTCTGCAGTAAAGGTGGGAATATTAACATTTGTGAATTATTTAGATATTAAATAAAGCGCCGGATTTGTTCGAGTCCAGTCTTACCGCCAATCGAGTTATATAAAACCTTTCACTTTCCTAAACTTTTTGAAGATTTCAGAATTTTAGCCAATGAATTGTGAACTTGTATTTGTACTTTTCAGAAGAGATTTTTCTCTCTATGACCTTTCTCACCCCCATAAAAAACAGAATAATATTGACAATATTCCAATAGATGACTACATGCATTTTAACTTTGTTAGTAAATTGTAAATTGTAAAAGTGAAATGTGAGACATAAGGGCAGAGTCTAGCAGTTTAATAAGTTTTTTTTTTTCAAGAAAAAAGATTTATCAAGGAAAATAATTTGAAATAAGAAAACTAAAAGTGATCCAGAAACTTCTTTTTATTGTAATTTTTAGGTCTAAATAAGATTAAATTGAAGGGCTTATGATCCAGAAATAATCAACAGCTCAATTATTCAGGCATATAATTTCCAAAATATGTGTTATAGAAACTGTTAATATCAAATAGGGATATATTTATATTCATTAATCCTTTTTTAAATAGAGGAAAATAGAAAATTAGTCACATTTTGTTTTCTTCTTGGTAGCTCTAACAAAAGTGCTTACTCTTGAGGCCAGCAGTGAGATTGCAACTAATATGTTAAAATAGGTTTTTCAATTAAATCATGATTTTGGTGTCCTTGATCCTTTGATAGCCATTAACAATACTAAGTTAGTTATTTAAGACATGGTAAATATAAAAGTTATAGCCTTATTACTATTATTAATTCAGAGAAACAGTAAACAAGCTAAACATATAAATAATTTGGTTTAGTCAACTATTGGAAAGAGACGAGCTACTAAATTGAGAAATCTGACATCATAAAAACCTTAAAAAAATTTAGAAAATTTATTTTGGAAAGAATGTATGTCAAGGTGTGCATATTTTTTGGTCATCAGAAAGACCAAAGCATGATTAGAAGGTTGAGTCTTTCGGCCTCACTTCTGACCTCTGGGGAAGGGGGCAGGGATTGGAGACTGCTAATCACCAATGGCCGATGATTTAATCAATCATGCCTACCCAAGGAAAGCTCCATAAAAACCTTTACATGATGGGATTCAGAGAGTTTCTGGGTTGGTGAACACACTGTGATGCTGGGAGGATGGAGCTCCTGGAGAGGTTGGTTATAGAAGCTCTGGAAGCTCCAGTTCCCTGCCCCTATACCTTGCTCTATGCATCTCTTCCATTTGACTGTTTCTGAGTTGTAGCCTTTATAATAGACTGATGACCTAGTAAGTACAGTGTTTTCTTGAGTCTTGAGAACTGCTCTAGAAATTAATCAAACCTAAAGGAAGAGGTTGTGGGCATCCTTGACTTTGTAGCCAAGTTGGATGGAAGTGTAGCTAATTTGAGGACATGATACTTATGACCTGTATCTGGAGTGAGAGAAATCTTATGGGACTGATTCCTTAAACCTTTGGAGTCTGACATTAACTTCGGGCAGTTAGTGTCAGAATTGAATTGGATTGTAGGACACCTAGTTGATATGAGAATTGGTTGGTGTCAGGAAGTAAAACACCTCACAGACTTCCTTTTCTGTTCTCCGAAAATCTCTGTAGATGAATATAAGTATCAGTGTGTATTGATTAGCTCCATGGGTGGTATTGATCACTTGCTGCTAATGAAAAAATTTTGAACAAAAGTATGGATTGAAAATTTGTAACAAAAGGAGACTTTTTATTCAAAATATTAAATGTAT